GTTTGACGGTAGAGAGGGGACGCTTAAGGTAACGCGTTTTTCACACACCAATAATCAGTCTTAAGCGATATTCTGTTGAATTATCGTTCTGCACTGGAATACACCGTCATTTGACATAATCATGAAACAATTTTAGCGGTTCTCAACGAATACACTGGTTAATGAGTCCCCAGGTTCCACTTTATTTACCAGAGGTTTATTTCTTGTCTGTCTTCGTGTGTGTGTGTGTGTGAATTGATCACATTCTAAATTTGCCAATTCAATTGCCTCAAACAAAATAACCGTTTATCACTGTACAGCTGTACGTGATTCAATCGGTTTAGTCCGTGACGTTTTGGTGGTATTGAGTGAAAAGGACTGTGCTGATCTTCACTTATAAAATGTAGGATTGTTTACTAATGCACGTCGAAATCAATTATCAAAAGTTGTCATAGAGAGAGTTACATGGGTTTGTTTGATGCCCACGGTTTTGCGTGTCGTGTGTCAGCTGGCCTACTCGGTGCTTTCCGTCAATCTATCTATCCCACTTCCATTTTCGAGTCGAACACAATCTGTGAATCGCAATGTATCGATTCGGCCGGATTACCTCCAACACTCTAGTGGCTGTAATACTTGCAGTTACACAGAATGACTTAATCTCATCGGTTTTTCGTTTCTATTTATATATTGTCAATATATCTCTGAAATCTACTTATGAACTGGATAATGGACTCGTCGTCAATACGATAAGATCTTTCGTTATGTACGCAGTCTTCAGTCGCTTTCGACAATCGAATTTTTCGTCGTTCAACTATGGTTTTTGGCCACCACGTTTTATCCTCTGTTCTCGTTGCTCGGTGTCGTAAACAGTGGTGTTCGCGCATCTTAATTTCTCTGTCCACTGAACTTTTCAGTTTTCTCTCCGATCCTAGTTTCAGCCTTTCCTGTCTTTCTCCTAATGTTCATTCAAATGGGCAGCCGAAGGATAGCAACCAAAACCAGCGCACGGTAGTGCATGGTTAATGGTTGTATAAACTGAAACTGAAACTTGCAACCTGCTAAGGGAGCTGAAGTTTCCAAGCTCGTACAATTGACCACCTTCCTACTTTCTAACTATTTAAAGGAGAACGTTACCCAGAATAAATGTTCCCTTGAATAAATTTAACAAGCCGAGTTCTGTTATTTAAATTATTACTTTTTTTTACAAATTGTCGGTTTATTCATCCGAATAATGAACAAGCAACACAGGTTTGGGGCTTATGATAATGATGGAGATCAAGAGCGAGGTTTGTGTAACTTGTCAGAGACTACAACCAGATAATCAGATTGTATTTTGGAATAAACATGGTTTGTAAATGATAGACAATCAAGGTTGGCCTTTTGTATTGCAATGTTTGAGGTGTAGAAAAGCAGAGCTTATACCATTCAAACCCAGAGACTCTCGAAACAAATTTGTCGATTATTTATAACTACGTGTTTCGTCAAGGCCAATTTACTTTGCTCCTCATCGATTCCTAATGGATAAGTCTTCCGAAGCCATAATGCACCGTAGGCGACTGACTTGGACAGAGTTCGTCTTAGTTGAAGGATGTCTCAGGAAAGCACTTTGATCTTGGCAGTGTACATGCTGTTTTCAACAATCTATCATTTGAAGGAGTTGGTCCATCGCAGGATGAACACGTTGCGCTGGGCCAAGGGTTTGCTCATGCTAATCTGCTTCTGCCCATATCAGCTCCGCTAAAACTTCCTACTAACTGAGTTCAGTGTGGTATGGTTGTGGTTCGCGCTAAGTTGCATTGAACTTTTGTTTGGGATGATGGCCAATCGCAAACTATCAATTTTTCTCGAACTGGTCCACCAATAGCCGTCATTGACTGCGTCGATGGTGTACGATACTTATTTGCAATTCACATGACGTTACGTGATAGTGGAATTTTTTTTTGGTGCTTTGTCCTTATTCAAAGGTGGAACTGTTTCAGTGAGTATTTCAAATCTATACCTTTTTTGCATTAGACAATTCAAATTCATTAACTCGCAAACAACCGACTTAATGATAATCGACTTTCGTCATCTTGTTTTTCTTTTCAAATTCTCACAGCACCTCGGAACCCACTCCACCTGCTTTGTTCCCGGATACTTCTCAACAGTCGAATATTCCCGGAACCTACGACGTTTCATCCGTGGGCGAAGTACAACCCTGCCTCGTTGATGATACAAGCGCTAAATATAAAGCTTCCGGGACTAATTCCCATCTGTCGGACTCGGATGTAAGATCTGATTATTCTCTAGATCGTGATCACAAATTAGGACCTCCGCAACCCGGTCTCACCAACTTTGGTAACAATATAGCCTCTGCAACCCTACCGCAGTTGCACGAATATGCCCTCCATCATCATCAATTTCTACAACAGCAATCTTTAGCTACTGGGATGTCCGGAATTCCCATCAAACGAAAGCGAGGTAGACCTCGCAAATATGCCACCATGCACGTGCTGCATTCCACACAGAATCATACACGGGCCATACAACCCTTTTCCCCACCTTGCACAACACCGTCTGTGACGGGACAACAGTCAACTCCTGTCCCATCCCCCACCCTACCCAATCCACCGTATCCCTACTCAACTGTGCTACTCGGGCAAACGCAAGCCGCCATGACATCTCCTCCCGCACTAAACCGTTACGCTCCGCTCACAGTGTCCACACCCGCGCAACCTGGGGGCATGATTCTGACGAGTGTGACAAACGTCCCGAACAACAATTGCCAATCGGGACATACGATCACCATATCCTCAGATCCTATTCTAGTGCCACAGAACAACAATAATATGACCGAGCAGTCATCGGTTCTCGTTCGCCCACCATCACCGATGACGGTGTCCATAGCAGAAGCGAACGGTCCCTCGTCGACCGGAAACGGTATGGTGCTCAGCCCACAGTCCACCTCAACCGAACCTGCTGTGCATCAGCGTAGTACAGATTCCAGTCAAACTCCATACACGATATCTCCAGCTGTGGTATCCGCATCTACTACACCAGCCCTACCAGCTAGTGTTTATCCTCCGGTCGACTTTTGTTCGGCACAGCACACTCTAAATGGTCTGATTCCTTATGTGAACGGACTAGTTCCTCCTCAGGCCCCAATACCTTCACCCAAATTGCCTGATCCCGCAATTTCCTCGTCAGTCCTTGGTTGGTGTACCGATTCACTCAGCCTAAATGGTTCGTATCAATTAACACTGGCTGCCCAGAGCAATACTAGCATGCTTGTTCCCGCGTTCCCTGAAATACCTGGACGACGCTACAGCTTCCCCAGCGCACCAGATCATCCTGGTGTATCCCGAACTCATCACCCGTCTGGTGCCACTTCAGGCACGTGGTTCAGCACTGACATTGAATTGATGGATCGGTTGCTCCCACAAGCCAGTGCAGCGTTACGTGCAGCCAGAGGGGCTGGTTTACCGGGACCTCACTCATGGAGCACGAGTATGGTTGGCAACTTTGTTAGTACACTACCTGGTTGCAAGCAGTTTGCCAATAAATTTGTCGAAAATGTGAGTTCCTGTCGTGTTTTTGGATAGGCTGCATCCGTTGCGCTATTTACCAATTCCGTTCAATTGTAGTTCATAATTTGTGATCACTAAACTGAAAAATGCTAATATATCATCCGTGATAGAACTTCTAATGCCAATTATTTTGGATTTGGCCCGATAATGTTTGATTGTTGACCTGGTAATAACTGCTATGCTAGTTGATTTCATGTTTAAACACATTGATGACCCTACCGTCCCCCCCATTACAGTGTGCTTGTCTGAGTTATAGTGAAGATAATTTCCTGATGTTCATCATCATCATCACATCTTCTCTTGGTTCTTATTTCAGGAAATCGATGGTGCCGCTCTACTCTGTCTTGAACAACATGACCTCATGCAAATCTTGGGCATGAAACTCGGTCCGGCTGTGAAAGTGTTCAGCGCAATTCAAACATTACGCCGCAGTTTGATGGCCACACCACTCACGGAATTGGGGTTGGAACAGCCGGGTACAATGGAAGCAGCGTCGTCCTGCTTTTCCGTTACCCATTCGCTTCACACCGAAGTGAACGTCCCATCCTCTAGCAACGCATTCGCATACAGTGATCAGAAATCAGTGGTTCCACTCAACGACAGCACTCGTGTGAGTGTATCGAACCAATCGATATCCTGATTCTTGTTCCTATCCACCGTCGTCCCATCGGCGATGTTTTACCATGCATGTTCGTGAACCTGAAGCAATTAGATCATTTTTCATGGTCCACATTCCTCCCGCTTTCTACATTTATCTTTCTCTTACTGTCCCTCGTTGCCTCCCTTTTTGTCTGCTGGGATCCTTCTTTTGTCTATCGTAACAGCCGACGCCCTCGTCACTCATTTTCGTGCCTTGGACACGATGTTCTATTCACCCACACCGAGTCCGTAAGCTGTTTTCTCCCCCATCTCTCTATCTTTTGTTCCCAACACAGGTAGTTACAAACCAAAACCTGACTTCAACTTAACCATTCATCTGTTTATCGCTCTGTTCTCACTGTGTATTGATTAATTCATTCGGTTCCCAGATGATCCTCTTATTTTTCTCGCTTTCTCGTCATCCCCGACATCCAATGCT